ATGGACAATCTCAGCGCCACTTGTTTTTGATCGGTTCTTCATGTTAACCCTTTTCGCGTCATTCACACTCCCCAGCTCCGGGTGTGATTGGTGCAACTGTGCTGCGCTCAGTCCGCGTATACAGTCGGTCACAAACACACTTTTGGTATTTCACGCAGTGCAACTCAGGTCCGCCCCATTAGAACACCACTTGAGATAACCTAAATAAGGCCTCAAACTACTTCGCCAGTCCAAAGTTACTTTTCACTTGTTCACTCATGGTAATATGAACGCATAGACACATGTCGTGACATGATTTTGCATTTCGAAGGAAGCGTTGGTCGGAGGGACTTCGTGAAATGGCCTCACTGTTGGATTGTGCAAACACGTCCTCTGCTCATCGCCCTGTGACCCCGAATAAACCGGTGCTAAGCATCGGTGTGTACCGCCGTGGTATACTTTAAGAAATAGCGCAAAAATATACCAAACACGGACACATGGTGTCTGCTGTTACACCGATTTAAGCGAGACTTTTTCGGACTCCACCCAGCTTTACCTTGTGAAGACGAGTTTATAGTTCGCATCTGCTTGCTCGAGAATAATGAAACGATGTATCAGTTGAGCTCTGGTTGCCAGGTGACAGGTTGGTAAACAATGTGGCTAGTTGCGACTACAAGAAAGGCAGGTCTTCGTCTAGCAGCCCGACTCAAAACTGATTTTCGTTCTAGACTTCATCAGTTGAGCCTATTTTAACTGCAAAGAAAAATTGACTTTCGAGGAATCTCTCGGTTCATAATTGTTTCACCAGAACGGAAGGAGATTGCCTCGGAAGCAATGTTAACACGAATGTTTCAGTAAAGCTAGTCGTCTTCTGGTGGAACCGACCTTCGAATCTATTCATCAACCACTTTTTCCCTATTTCAACCATTTTTTCAACCCGTTAGCAATACCTTATCCCCTCTCTCAATGCACAGATAAGCTCTTCTGTAGGTGTGTAGGTACAGGCGAATGGCCGTCAGCAAATTCATGAACTGCAATAGCAAAAAATGAGGATGTCGTTGTGGAGACTTTCATGTCGAGGAAAGCGTATGATGACGAGATTCTCACATGAAGACGACAGCTGGAATTCGGCGTTTGCGTTGATGCAGTACACGAGACATCATCCATCATTTAAGGAAAAACGGAATGAATCTTCGCCCATCATCTGACTGCGATTGCGTACTCCTGAAGGAATGTCATTTTTCCTGATTGAGTGTCAGTTTAAAGCTGTCGTGGCAATAAGATCCGTCTCTAACGCATTCGTTCAGGTGGCATGGCAAACGAAAGCTCAACTCGTGCTGGCGGAAACCGAAAGATGTGAATTCATACGACCGCAGAGCATCTCACATGCGTACAGATGTTGACTCATGTATAAGTGAACCAACCGAATAAATTTATATCTACCTAGATTTTAGTTAATTTAGTTATGAATTTGCCCAAGAATGAGTTGCAACTCTGGAGATGTCTGTCAATTAGCATGACGAACAAAAGCTGAACCAGTGTTCACTTGTAACGAGGAATGATGTCTCGTGGAGTGCGTCAATCTTAACGTCGTATTACAGGCAAACACGGCTGCAGGACTACGAAAATCAGCCACAATCTCTGGCTTATATCAACCTAGGAAGCTCTTCTTCAATCATCCTTTTATATGAATTTAAAGTCGCCATAGCAATGTTATTTCAAGGGATTCATCGAAGCCTAGTTACTCTTTGTATCTACAGTTGAGGAATAGAAGCATCTGCCTGAATTCGACCAAGAAGACTCCTACACTGGCTTGTCCTCAGACACGAATATCTACTTGTCTATTGCCATAGAAACTAGGTTTTAGGGCTATCCCTAGATTTTGAATAAGCATTCTATTCACCCCATGACAGTCCAATTTTCCCCAAAGATACTCTCGTCCGTTGATAGCAAGCGAGAATGGATGAAGACTGATCCAATCATCACATGCCAGAGATCCTGGGGAACATCAAACGAATCGGATTGGTGGGTTCGGCAGCAAAGGCGACGCCGCTGGCGAAGCCGTGGATCCTCGGATGTCCCACAAATGCATAAAGCCCAAGTTGCTACAACACAGGGTACAGTGGGGTTGAGCCTAGCCGAGGCATTGCTGGAAGTCGGCCAAGCGGCTGGATGCATTCGTTTGAGGGGGATCCAGACACCGAATGGTCATCAGGAAATAAGCCGTCGACACATTGGCCATTTTATTGTCTCGGTTGGTGGGGCAATTTGGTTGTCGAACCTTCTAGAGCCGAGCAAACAGAATCCGATCTGTTAGTCAGCCACAGTTACAGATGATGGAACAAACTGGCCTGTAGAAAACCTCAAAGGACTCCTTCATATGTCGATATTTTTGACTCAGCAAGACAAGACCCTTACCAGCGATATGTCAGGACTTGAACACAGGCTGATTAAAGACGTATTTTGTGATTCCCAGAATTCAATAGGTAGCCTCAGAGCAACTCGTACTTTAAGATTCAAGCTGATCCCTTGGCTTCGGAGTCAGACGACAAACGAGATGACACATGTACACCCACACACAAAGGCCTGGGTTACAGCAACTTTCTGTTGTTAAGCTTGCTTCCATTTCGAGTGAAAATGTTGGGTGAAGGGATTCGAAGGTCGGTTCCAACAGAAGACGACGG